AGATAACAGCAGCCAAATACCACACATTTAAACCCATACATTCAACGTAATGCAGAAAAGTCACTTCAAGATGCTAGAGCACCAATCTGAAAATTGATAGACAAGGAGAAAGACCTGTCTTACTTTATAAATTATGCTCCTGGAAAGCTGAGCAATGGACACAGGGAGGTTCCCTGCCCAGAGGCTCTCCAGCAAGCAGAGAGTGAACAAGGACAGCCCAGACAAATAACGGATTGGGCACAGCTGCCCTCATCTCCAGACAGCCACCCCGGCATCTATGCCTCCTTCTGGAAGAACACAGCAGTCCTGCAAAACCAGGAAGAACCACAGGGTGGACTCTGCCTCTGGATCCAACTGCTTTAAAATTCTTTTTAAAGCCAGGCGTGGAGGCACACACCTGTAATCCTAGCACTTGGGAGGCTGGAGCAGGGATTGCCACAAATTCACAGCTAGCCTGTACTACACACTGCATTCAAGGCCAGCCTGAACTACACAGTGAAACCCTGACTCAAAAGAAAAACAGGGCCGGGGATTTAGCTCAGTAGTTCTGCCGCCTACTTCGCAAGCGCAAGGACCCAACTTAGATCCCAGTACCAAAAAAAGAAAAAAAAAAACTTTTCAGGACAAGAGACACGAAGCACCATGGGCACCATCTATAGAATTCCGAATGGGCCCTCTCTATAGTGGGCTTCCCAAAACACAGCCTGCCACAAACCCTCAGTGCTGTCAGCTGGTAGGCCCTCTGGGTCTGTGGTTCTGGCTCTAGATTATGGCCAGGGGCAGGTTCAGCAGACAAACCCCAGCTCACAGCAGACAGCGCACAGAGAGAGTTGGGGAACATCTACAGATCAAAAAGACCTAAACTGGCCAGATGCAGTAGCACACATCTGTAATCCCAGCTACACAGGAAGCTGAGGCAGGAAGTTCACAAATTCAAGGATTCCTGGACAACTAGTCAGATTCTGTTCCAAAACTTTAAAAGTGGGGGGGGACTGAAATGTAGCTCAGTGGTAAAACACCCCCCAGTACCACAAAAAACAGACAATTTTAGGAGGCAAAAACACTCATCAACAAAAATGATAAATGAAGACCTTTCAGCCAGTGTGCCTATGACTGGATTCTGATTTAAGAAACCAAAACAGCAAAAGAAATAGAAAATGCAAGAGAATTAGAAATCTGACATTGGGCCGGGGATTTAGCTCAGTGGTTCCACCAACTGCCACACAGTACAAGGACCTGAGTTCAATCCCCGGTACCAAAACAAACAAATAAATAAGAAATCTGATACAAAGGAGTAAGTGATAATAAGGGACTGAATTTCTTATGGGTACCACTGACATTGTACAACCTATAGCCCTTTCTTTCCTTCCAGAGACCTGTGAGCCATTTACAACACAGTAATAACAAATTTGTTTTAAAGCCTGCAGGATAGAATGTGAGATGGTAGACTCAACTATCCAATTACCCATGGGGCTTCATTTTACTCTTTCTCCAGTTCAGTAAAAGTTTGAATTTCCCCATAATTAAAAGCCAAAATGAAAAACAAACAGAAACACCTCCACCCACCACACTCAGGACAGATGGTCACTCTCTGATGCTTAGGCAAACACCTGTCTCCTGCCACTGCTTGATAGAAAACGCCCTGGGCTCCATGCCTTCCCAACCCTATACAAGTAGTGGCCTGGGGAAAAGTTTCAGTGGAATGAGTTACTTTATGTTCCATTCTAATGTTGAAAATAATGCAAATTTTGTGACAGGTCAAGGACTGAAAAGGAAAAAGGGGACAAAACTCGGAAAGAGTATTATGTTTAAGGCAGTCAACGCTATTTGCAGAAGCTATTTTACTTTCACTTTACATTCCTGACTTCTTCAAAATATGTACAATGAGCATATAATCTACATGTTCTTTGTAGTCAGAAAACAAATTACATGTTTAATTTGTAAATTAAAACTTCCTTTTCATTCACGTTTCTTTAATCCTTATCTGCAAACTAAACTGACCTTCTAAATTTAAAAATCACTGTAAAAAAAAAAAGAAGGAGGCGTGGTGAAGCTGAGTAAGATGATCTTGAGTTCAACCCCCATATGGACAGCTGAGTAACTTAGCAAGGCCCTGCCTTGGAAAAAAGAAAGATGGAAGGAGGGAGGGTTGGGGATATAACTCAGTTCAAAGGCCCTGGGTCCAATTCCCAATACCAGGAAGGGGGGAAAAAAAGACAGCTGGAAAATGTTTAAACTCTTATCTTCAAGCTAGTTGTCCTATGAGAATAATGAAATATGTCTACCAAAAGTTTCTTCATATATTATTCTTACATTCATGGTTAGTTTGCCAGGAACTGTGCCTCCCCAAGGCCCATAGCACCATCACCCCAGGACATCTTCATTCTTAGGGTGACAATGTGTTCAGAACCAACAACCTTCCCGGGAAATGCAGCCACTGTCAGGAAAATGAAGCTGCCACCTTCCTGGCACAGCAGCCAAGCAAATACAGGACTGACACCAAAGAAGCTGGCTTGAGTATCCTGGTCTTTCTACACCCTCTCCTCCCCACTCCTGGCATATGGAAGGAAATGAATCCACACATTTCACTAAAGATGACCTCAGAGATATTTGGAGGCCAGTGTCTTACACAAAGAGGACATGAAATTATGTAAATCTTAATTGTACTCAAATACTAAAAGTACCAAAGATGTAAATTCCAAAAATTCTTAGACACAGCTGTCCCTCTACAGGGTTTAGGAGAGCATTTAAAGCCTAGTAGGGAGCCCAGAACTCAAGAAGTATAGGGTCCTGCCTCCTCTTTGAGGAGGTCCCCATGGGTAATCCAGAACAATGCCCCTATCTCAAGGTCCCTCACCTAAATCAAGTTACTTGCCATGCAAGAACTTGGATTAGCTAGATATCTCTGGGGCCATTATTTTACCCACTTCTTAAAAAATCAGAGTACAGCCCTACCCCTGCAAAGTAGGATTCACTATTAGAAAGCCATTACCATGTCTGGTGTGGTGGCGCACGCCTATAATCCCAGCACTAGGGAGTCTGAGGCAGGAGGATTGCTGTGAGTTCAAGACCAGCCTGGACTACATAGTGAGTTCCAGGTCAGTCCCAACTACATAGTGAGACCCTGTCTCAAAAAACAAGCCAAAAAAAAAAAAGGAGGAGGAGGAGGAGAAGAGGAAGGAGAAGAAAAGAGGAGCAGGAGCAGGAACAGGAGCAGGAGCAGGAGCAGGAGCAGAAGCAGAAGCAGAACAGCAGAAGCAGCAGAAGCAGAAGCAGAAGAAGAAGAAACCCATCTCCACTTGCTTTCCTGTCTAGACTCCCCTCTGCTGAGGCTTTGGGAAGATGGCATATCTCTATGCTTAGGAAGCTTGTACCTGCTAGTAAAGGTCAGACAAAAAGTAGTTTCCACCAAAAGGGAAATAAATATTTAGCTACACCATCTAAGGCATACAAACTTGCTGTATAGGACACATCTGGTATTGGTCACCATCACAGCACACATGTGACTTTTCAAACAAGATCACAAAACCTTCTCTGTTCTTTACAGCCCAGGACAGCATAAACATCAAGCAGGTCACAAGGCATTTGGGGAACAAATGCCTCTCGGCCTTTAGGCCACATGAGAAGAGGATTGAAGGGCACCACCTTCCTGCAGCCAGTTACGACATCCTGTTCCATTTTAAGGCCGAGGATCAGAAGGGCATGGATCCAAGCAGGAAGAAGCCTGGGCACAGGGAGAAGGGGCAAAGCTGTGCAAGAAGCAAGCCCCAGTTATCTGAGCAGAGATATAAAACCACAGCTCCTTTTCTTGCAGTCTCTTGAGCAGCTTAAAAAGTTCTGCTTTCCAGGCAGGACTGGCAATATAAAGCAGCATTAGCTCCGGCATAACTGAAATCCAAATTGCAAAAGGAAGGCAGAGAACACAGTACTCAGAGGAGAGGAGAGATGGCACTGATAAGGAGAAGGGATAAAAACGTATCAAAAAACAGACTATTAGCGTTCACTTTTATAGTAAAAATGACATCAATTGGTCCAGACAACTCATCAGAGCAAGAGGCTGACCCACTTTCTACAAAGACTGAAATTGTCACTGTTCACCTCACTCTACAAACAGATGAAGAAAATAACCTATCAGTGGGAAGAAAATAATGATCAGGAATAAAAATATAGGACCACCAATTCTCCAACAAGATTCCAGCTCCCCAGTATTCCTGAAACTAAGCAAACTGGGGAAAATATTTCTCTAAGCAACTGCTGAGATTAAATGTACACATAATATTGGATTCAGTAATTAGAAGGGGAAAACAAGGAAGGCTCTTATCCTCCGTATAAGAAGCCTGCAAGCCCAAATACAGAATGTCAGATCAGAACAAACTTTTATAAGGCAAAAGGCAAAAACAGGAAAAAGTATTTTCTACATTCTGAGCTGCCAAAAATCAAGGCGTGGCATGTGCTAATAAGTACCTGCAAAGCATGTGATTGTCTGCCCTGTTTATAGAACCAGAGTACGCAGATCCCACATATGTGCACTCCAGGTAGGAGAAGCCTGGACCTACCAAAGCATGAATGGTGTACATTTAACAAGGCATGTGGGATATTTTTGGCTAATGATGTTAAAGCTGAAAGGGTGACCTGCATACAAACCAAACACACAGTCATTAATCAACTTCCTTTCCAAGCAACATCTCTCTGTGATGGAACAGGGCCAAGCTGCAGACAGAAGCACACTTCTGGCTCTCATACAGCATCAGCACAATGAAAGAAGAGGAGGCAAATATGAGTTAATACTTTACCCAAATTCCAATGTACAAACTCTACTCATCAACTGTTTACTGCAGTCATTTAACATACTGAAAATATAGTCAGTTACTAATAATCGCCACGTGGTGAAGTGAAAGCTGCTTAGATAACCTTAAAGTGGCTTTTATTTCACCAAATAAAGAAGAGACAAGTTTGTTGATTTGGTAAGACTTTACTTTCAAAAGTTGTTAACCACCAACCTGCAAAGGAGCGGCGTTTTACGTTCAGCTCATTTGCCACGCGGACCTCAGTACAAAGTTTCAGCATCAGTAACATGGTCAGGATCATAATAATGCTCTGCCAAAGGAGGGGTGACTCAAAGTGCCTTCCAAACCTGAAGAGGTAAACAGATCACATGTCAGGAGGGAAGCCAGACACCAGCCTCTACCAGTATATCCACAGGAACCTCTCCCCAGTCACATCACAAGCCACAACTGGGGAAAGAGGCCCCTCGGAAGGTTTTTGGTACCCACTGTGCCCATGGATATGGCCTCTTATCTACATAAAGTGAAGGCAGCACAAGACCCATAGCTCAGACAAGAGTAACCTCAGGTCTCACTGACTCAAAGCCAGTTCCAACCCTGCTCAGGAGTCAGCATCGCACTGAACCTTCTACTTGGCTACTGTGACAAGGAACCTACCAAAATCTTACCTTAAGTTAAAACCCAAAAATCAGTTCAAAAACTCAGTAGTGACACTTTTGCCAGCAATTTATAAAAGACAAAAATAGACACAACCTCATTTTATAGCCCTCAAGAGTGTGTCTGAAAGATCTGCTATGTAATAAGGAAAACTATACAATCAGTGCAGACAACTGACCCCTAATTCACCCAAGTACCACCAGTGCATCTGCAAGCTCACAAATGTAATTCACTGCCAGTGAATCATAACTCACAGAAGCCTCTGGGGGCAATCATGCTCCTCTGATGGGAACTTGTTGGGGCAGGAGCTCCCAGCCCAAGTCAGCTAGCAGAGCAGGTGAGGTGTGGCTCAAAGAGGGGCAGACTGCCAAGTGCAGTTCCCTCAATCAGTAACCAGGAAAGTCCCAGATCTTCTCCTAGGGTGTGGCAAGCCGAGACAGAATCCTCAGATTCCATCATGCGCATCATGTGGCCATGGTCTCCACATGCCTCCTTGGAACTTGTGAACCCTAAGAACCAAGCCACTACCTGAGGTCAAGGAAGCCTGGGAAATCATGGGAAAGCAGAGAAGCGAGCAATCTATGTTGATGTAGTTGCAGGGGACAGGGCACAGAGAGGTAGACCAGCTGCCTCCCCAGAAAATACCCAGAATCTTGAGGCTTCATCAGTGCCCCTCCCCATGAGGCCATCAAGAAATACCAAGTAAGGAACCAAGACAGACTGAAACAAGATATGGTTATGAGCCAAACACTAGGTCAAGACAACTTCCATCTGGGAAGAAGTACAGTAGTTGGGGCAGGGGTTTGTAGGCCAGAGGCACAAGTCAGGGTGCAGCAGGCCTATGCCCACAGGTAGCTCTGGTCACCGTGCTGCCGTTCATGGGCCTATGTACCTGGAAACCCTCTCCAAGCCTCTGTCTCTTCACCTGTGAGGGACAGACCATAAGCCTAAGGTGTTAGAGGACACAGAGAAAAACTGGGATGGAAAAGAAGCTATGCTCCTGTGCATCACCTCAGGAGCAGAAAGTTCCTGCCTCTCAGGTGCAGTGTTTTCCTTCTTACAGACAAGAGCACTGGCCAGCAATGGCAGAGGCTCAGCATTCAATCTGCACCCTTCCTGCCTCCCACCAGCATGAAGCCTAAGACTTTACTGGTGAAAGTGTAAGGCTCTGGGACCCAGCCCTGTGGCCTACTCTCCTCATTCACCTACCTGGCCCCTCTCTGCTTCTTTTCTATGTAATCACAGCCTGCCAACATTAGCTATAAGGATTATTTGGCCTACCTACCCCTGGCTTCTGATGCCACAAATGTCAACTCCTGCATATCAACACTGCATGTAGTGTGAACTGCTAAATGCTAGTTTTGCCAAAGGAGAAGGATTATAATAAATAAGGGCATGAGAATTATGAAATTTTCAAAATCCCCAAGTTTACAGTTGTATCAACCCCTTCCTTCAGGACTATAAAACCAACAAGGGTAGGAGGCTTTCTTTTCTGAAAGGCCTGGAGCTCTGAGGTCTAGGACCCAACCAGCACTGGGAAGCCAATAAAGATTCTAATTCCACCATTCTCCTATGGTGGAGGCAGCTCCCAGCTCACCTGGAGCCTGCCACAGTTCCAATCAACTCTCCCTCCTCCACCACTCCCAACCCGTAACTTTTATGTCCACGTGAGAGGGGTGCACACGCACATGGTATGTTCAATGTATTATGCTCCTGCTAAAGCACAAACCCTGTGGTCTTAGGCCATGTCTGGCATATGGAAAACTCTTAAAACATATGAATCAAAGAGACTGCTGACCTGGAGACTAGAGGTCAGCAGGAATGGCAGCTGCAAGAGGCTCCAGAAAGAGGCTCCACATAGCCTTAGAGCAACAGGATCTCTACAGCCATGCAGCACAGGGCCCAGAAGATGAGCCTTGGTGACCATCTCTACTAGGAGCACCAGGACCAGTCATGAGCTGACTCCAGGGCACTGGCTTTATTTCTGACCTCTCCAAATCAGCCACTCAGATGTACAATAAATATTTTATTTACAGGTTTAAACAATAAGCACACTGGAAGAAAACTCTCTAAGTGGACCTTCTTCCCATATGTTAATCCAACCTCAGTCAGTTCTCCATTACTTTGGAGGAATTTATTCCATAATCCTCAAGAGAAGCACAATGTTCCTTCAGAACCTGAATACTGCGTCTGGGCTGATGTGGGCAAGTCCGCCTGAGGGCCTGCCCCCTACTCCCTATGTTCAAAGTAAACAATAGTTTTAGACAATTATATTTAGGGATCTGCTTCCATTCAACCTTAGACTTAATTCATGCTATTTCAGTGCACCAAGCCAGAGTCATGTGGCAATGAGGATACACAAGGTGGCTGAAAGCATGAATCTCTGTACAGCTGCTGAAATGCTCACCATTTCCTATGTCCTTCATGTGAATGCAGGGTGGAAAAAGAAAGGAACCACCCTTAATCCAGGAGGAAAGAAGGAAGAAATCTTGAAAATGTTTTAAACTGTTAAACAAAATGGGGATCTCTAACCCCTTCCTCAGAAGTAGCTTGGCCAGAAATAAACCTTGAGGGTGACAAACTCCAATGTGGCCAAACCACCACACCTGAGTTCAGTTTTCCCAAGGAAGTGGTGATCAACTCACTAGCTCACCTCCTAAAACTCCCAGGCAAGGGCAAACTACTCTCCCAAGGTCACTGTAGATCTATGGCTGTCTGGGCCCAGGCCTGGAACAGCATAAAAGGAGCAGAAAACTTTTGGATCATGAACTCAAGGTGGACATATTCATCAAGGCTCATCAAACAGTAACACTGATTTAAACACTGGTAAAAACACTGATAACGTGATTACTCAAATAGTGACCAAAAGGTCAAAAACACAGCTCTAACAACAGGTGCCTGGTCCTTTCTTCCTGGCTGACCATCCTCCTGAGAAGTGCAATGCATTCCTATCTGCAGAGCCTGGGGACCACCCAGAAGAAAGGAAAAGTCCAGACTTTGGACCGCAGGATGTGGCTATGATTATCTCTTTTCATTTGCTTTGAAAATTCACCCACCACATAACATCTGGCTTCAACTGTTAAAACTAATTTCAGGGCTTGGGGGATGTAGCTCAGTGGTAGAGTACTTGCTAGCATGCACCAGGCCCTGGGTTCAATCCTCAGTACCACAAAAAAAAAAAAAAAAAAAAAAAAAAAAAAAAAAAAAAAAAAAAAA